GCTGATTAGTTCGGCCACCATTAGCCCAAGTGCTGGTCTAGCTTGGCTGGTCTGGTAGACTTTGGGCCATCTCTGTTAATATCACCCACTTCACATGGCCTAGGAGTGCCTCTGTGACTAATGTCCCCCTTGTAAGGTTTTTGTAACAGTCCTGCACAAAAATGTGGTCCTGACTCTGCCCCCCAAGCTAGATCTACCCCCATTTCCCCATTTTGCAATACTGCGAAGGCTTCGTTGCACGTTGTGTCTTGTCTTGGCCCACCACCTTCCCACAGTCAGGTTATTTTATTTCTGCTTCTGAATTCAGCTGCGTTTTTGCATGGCCGCTGTCCCTCTTGTTTTACATACGTTAGGTACCTGTGGCACTCTGTGAAACAGAAAGTTCTCTTTTCTTCTGTCTGCGTTAGCCACAGAGCTGCACTGACAGGACTCCCGGTGACTGACCAACTTCTCACCAGTGTCTGCTTCCTGGCCCAATGCTCTGCTGCAGCCCATGCTTTAAGCACCTTGGCAAATTCCTCTGCCTCTCACGGTGTCTTTGGCTTCCCATTAAACACAGAGATATCATTTCTGGCTCAGGAAGTCTCTGCACCGCGGGCCACCGGGAGCTGGGAGACTGGGCCTGGGGAGCTTTCATTACGTGCATACTCTGTTCGTCTGCTCCTCTCGAGGCATCTCCTATTGGACTCTGGGACAGCTGGACCTTTTTTCTGACCCAGCTCAGGTTTTTATGTGCTCTCGTTTCATTTTTTCCCCTGGTTTCAATCTGGTCATCCCATAATTGAAAATCTGTTAATAGGTCAATGTCCAATTTACCCTGGAAGTCTTCAGTAACATCTTGTTATTCAACCAAAATGATCCAGATCCTTCAGCGGAATTCTCTTTGTCCCCCACTTTGTAGCACATGGCTGACCAGCTCTCTCTAATTTGATGGTTGATTCTAGTCATACAGCCAGCCTAGATAATTCAATCTTGTTTCCTGAAGGCAAGTTCTCACCGCCGTAAGAGCTGAACCCATCAAGTTGGCTCCTAGGCACCCTATTTCAGAGCCATTCCCTTACACCGTGGTTATGGACTGAGTTGAATAAACCTCCCAAATGTATTCTCCTCAAAGACCGTGGCTTTTATACTGACTCAGCTGGGACAGACAGTCTGATCCCTTTCTCCTGCAGACTGAAAATGGTGGAGAGTGTTTGGTAGTAGGTGGTGTTCTGGCTAGCCCTTGTCTACAGCAGGAGGCTGTTTTTTCCAGTGGTGACCTGCAAACCTTTGATTTCCTTTTCTGAGTGATTTTTTCATTTCTTAACTCTTTGCTGTGGTTCATCTTGGCTTGTAAATTGGCCAAAGCTTTTCTTGTGCCTCTTATTTTCTGGAAAACATTCTTTTCCATGATAGTCATGCTGCTGATCACCTCTTTGATCCATCTTGCAATTTTAAACTGGGAATCTTCCAGGAGAATTTCGCACTCTCTCTGGACACTGAAGCCTTTTATCCTTGTCTGCAGGTGACCTCTTATAAACCTCTCTTAGAAGTTTCCAGATGTTGCTTGAACTCCTTTTGCAAAGTCTCCAGCTGTCTCGGATCATGCTTTGCATCTTTTGGTCATTTTCAATTTCCGTTCCCGCTTGGTTCCAGAGGAATCCCAGAATTAGGACTTCTCCTAGAAGCTGAGTCTCACTCTGGACATTGTTTCCATAATTTGAAGATTTGCAGGTTGTTCCAGAGAGGATGAAGCTGGCAAAGATGTTCCATAAATTCTCCAGGTGCTCCACAAGGAGGTGCTCCAGAAATGTTCGCCCCCTGCTCCCCACCCCGTATATTAGCTACAGAAACCATGCAAAGCCCTGCTTTCCTGCCCATGGGAGGAATCAGCTGCAGGAAACTCTTTTCTTTCAGAGTTCAAGCTCCCTTTGAGTCAGCACTCCCCCAAAAGGTCTCCATGTGCTTTATCTATCTCAGGGTTAAGCTCCTTCTTTTATTTGGGCTGTGCCTCCGGTTTTCTTGATGCTTTCTCAAAGACCAGTCCGGTCAGGAGGAGAGGAATTTCATGCTGAAGGTGCTTGTTCCTCTCCACTGACTAGCGAGAGAGCCCGTAGCTCCATCTTAGATGTCCAACATGGATGCCCAACTCGGGGCAACCAATGCCACCCTGCATGGCTAGCTACTGCTGGCACATGCCGACACCCAGCAAGTTTCACTTGCAGCCTGCAATCCCCCTTCCCGCGGGAGCAGTCTATATAGTCCAGCCTATGGAACAGTTTGCTTTTCTCACCAGCAGCAGATTCTCCCAACAACCTCTGCAGCGGTCCACAAGCCTCTCCTTCTGACGCTCCCAAAATATAACCTATAGGCACGTGGCATACGTTTATGTTGTTTATTTTTAGCCCCCAGTTTAGTTGCACCGACAGTGTGAAAATGTCATCAGGTTAACAGGGAAAGAGCTGTATAAGCCTGCAGTGCCACTTGCCTGCCTGCCTGCCAAGCAGGAGCCTCCAACACCTCATCAGAGCCTTCGCTGCTCCTAAAACCTCATTCGCACTTTACATACGGGCAGTGTGGTTTCAGCAGCCCCCCGCATGCAGGAATCACGAGTTACCCTCCTGATAAGATTACCTGTAAAGCACGGTCGTTAGAAAGGAACGGTGTGAGGCTCTTGTCTCTCTTTTGGCTGGCGGGGAGGTGCTTTCTGTCTATCGGGGTACTTCCCTCCCAGCTGCTGTGGGAGCCCGAAAACTGCCCCTTTCCTCAGCGCGCGCCGGGATCGGGGGTCACGCACCTCCGGGAGCCGGAGCCCGCGGAAGGGAGGGAGCAAAGCTGAACCAAACGAAAGGCAAGCGGTCAGGGCTGGCAGGGGGGGACAAACACATCCCTGTGGGTCGCCCCCGCTG